TTCTGAAAGAAGAGAGGGAGAGAGATAGAAAGACAGACAGAGATCCTATGCCAGATTAAGAACAAAGGGAAATGGATTTCTTACAGTCACACTTGATATAGAAGACAATGGAGAATACTTTTAAAATTCGGAGTGAAAATATGTTCAACCATGAATTTAATTTCCAGAAATCTATCTGTCATGTAATGGTGAATGTACTCCACTGAAGTGAGAGAGTAAAGCAAGAATGAGGAACCAATAAAATCTAGGAAAAGGAATAAACCTGTGATAGGCAGAAAGGAAATGAAGCAAATGAAAAGAGAAGGAATTACTAACAAAAAAATAAAACAAATGTACAAGAAAATGCAATCAAAGTATACTTTGTGGCTCAACTGGGAATAATACTTACATGATCTTAATAATGTAAACCCTGAACAAACGGGACTACATCAAACTAAAAAGGTTTTGCACAGCCAAGGAAATCATCAACAAATAGTGAATGGGAGAACATATTGGCCGATACATCTGATAAGGGGTTAATATCCAAAATTTATAAAGAACTTATAAAACAACACCCTAAAAAGCCCCGAACAATCCAATTTAAAAATGGGCAAAGGACTTTAATAGACATATGAAAAGAGGCTCAATGTCACTAATCATCAGAGAAATGCAAATTAAAACCACAATGAGATATCTGCCTGACACCTGTCAGAATGGTTATCATCAATAAATCAACAAACAACAGGGCTGGTGAGGATGTGGAGAAAGAGGAACCCTCCTGCACTGGTGGTGGGAATGCAGATTGGTGCAGTCACTGTGGAAAGCAGAATGGAGATATCTCAAAAAACTAAAAATGAAGCTGCCTTATGATCCAGTGACTCTACTTCTGGGAATTTATCTGAAGAAATCCGAAACACTAATTCGAAAGAATGTATGCATCCCTATGTTCATTGCGGCGTTATTTACAATAGCTCAAATTTGGAAGCAGCCCAAGTGTCCATCAGTAGATGAATGGATAAAACAGCTATGGTACATTTTACACAATGGAATATGACTCGGCTGTAATAAAAATTTACCCTTTTTTCCGTCTTTAAACAAAAAATACTTTTTTGCTGTATTTTATTTACCATTTAAACTATTTTTAAAAATATGCTGAGTGAAATAAGCTAAGTCAGAGAAAGACAAATACCATATGATTTCACTCATATGTGGAATCTAATGAACAAACTGAACAAGCAAAATAGAGACGGTCTCACAGAGAGCAGACTGACAGCTCTGAGGGGTGGAGGGATTGACCAAAAAAGAAATAAAAGAGAGAAAGAACTCACCCATAACAGTGTAGTGATTGCCGGTGGGTTGGGGGAGGTGGAGGTGGAGAAGGGTATGGGGGGAGGGGGTGGATAAAGGTGGTGGCAAAAAATAATGTAAACTCTGAATATCTATTTGACAAACAAATAGATGATATGACTATATTGAGAGGGTGTGAATAGGATAGGGATGTGTTTTATTTGGGTATAGTGTGATATAAAAGGACTCCTGTTAAAAACATCATGGTAATTTAAGCAGTAAGAGCACAGGAGGGTTTTGTTTTGTTTACTGTGAACTGCTAGTGCTTAGAACAATGATGCTTGGCACACAGTAGGTCTTCAATAAATATTTGTTTGAATGAATGAAAGTTTCCCCTAAGCAATATTTCTCCTAGAAAATTTGTAAAGAAAACACAGTAAGTTAAAGTAAATAAAAATAAACTTCAAAAGCTGTAGTGCCTGGAATCTGTTTTTTTCTAAAAATTTAAGATTACCATTTTCAAAATTTAAAAGTAGTTACATTAAATAGTTAAACCCAGCATCAAAGTATTTGAGATTATTCAAAAGGGAAAGATATTCCTGGGAAACTATTCTCTGTAAATTCTTATGCTATTTTGATTCGGGATGCCTTGAAGCTCTGAACAGTTCCAGGGAAATCAAAATGTAATTTTCTCGGGTTAGAAAGTAAATTATTTTATTGACTTTTCCTTCCATCACTCACTAATATAATACAAGGATGGGTTGAGGAAAACTGCCCTGTTTTGCTTTTCAAGTTGCTAAAGAAGAGAAAAGAATCTCTTGGTACTTCCTCTCCTATTAAATTCCAGAAAGTTTTCACCAGGACATAAATTCCTTTTATTAAATAGATAAAAAAAAATCTTTGGATCAACTATTTGCTCTTCCATCTAATGAATCTAAATTGAGTCTGCAGCCCAACTCAACTTGGCTGCAAATTTACTGCTGACTCTTACTGTAATGAACCCATGGAACTGTTCATTCATTCATCCCCTCTTTCCGCACATTTGCTGTGCACCTACTATGCGCACTAGTGGAAGAAGATTAGGTCAAATAATTCTGGGTGCATTTGCACCCAAGAAGATATTCAAAGCCTAGAATCAGGTGTATTTGTGTTCAGATGGGTCTCTGGGTTGGAGGCGCACTCTTACTTGTCAGAGGGCAGGGTTCCTAGTCTCTGTGGCCTTTATAGAAATTTCAGCCTACTTTCCCCCAAACAGGATTTCTTCTGGGGTTGTGGGCCACCCAGCACTCCTCTTTGGAGAGCAAGGCACAACCAGGGATTGTGCCCTCAGGGCTGTCTGTCCAAACATGTCAAAAAGGTCCATAGAGTCTCTGGAAAGGCTGCCAGCTTTCCAGCGCTCAACCCCAAGGGTTCAGAGTTCCTCCCAAATTCACATGTTTGGGCCTCTGGGACCCCAACCCGACTCCTCCTGCACTCCCCGCCAGCTTCTCCTGAACGCAGCGCCCCTGATAACTTCGTGGAGGTGAGGAAGCTTGGGCTCTAGGGTCTGGGGCCTTCGGGACCTTTTCATCCACCCGCCCTTTCCTCGACACGCTAGGCGGCCCAGCTATTTCTCAGTGTCCCCAGAGCTCTGTGGAGCGGGGTGCATGCTCTGCCAGACCCAGAGCCGGGGGCAGAGGACGTGGAAGAGGCGGTGTAGAGGGCAGAGGCTTAGTGCCTTCCAGCTGCGCCGGGTCCTTCAGCAGCCCCTTTCCCGGGTCGGAAATGGGGAGAGGGGCACAGAAGTCTCCCCTCGTATTTGCAGGGCTTTGGGCGGGAGGGCCTCCTAGTAAAGGCCGCTTCGATGTCCCTGATTACATCCAAAGCGAGCTCAGTACCTTGGGCGCAGAGAGAAATCCCCGCTGTGCAGAAGGAAGCCCTTGGGGAGCAGCACTTTCTGGCGTGGTTACCCAGGTCCCGGAGGGAGTGCCCCTGCCCTGCGCCGCGTCAGCTACAGCCCCCAAGCACGTTCCGCGGGTCCGACAGCCTTCCTCGGGGTAGGGGCGGCTCTGGCCCGTGCAGCCTCTGAGCACTCTGCCTGCCACAGAAATGGAGGCGCGGAGGGCCGGGACTGACATCTCATGAACTCTCTTCTGACCCGCACAAACGCTAAGGTCCCACGAGCCTCTGGCTACTCCCTCCCCGCCCCGCGCCTTCGGGCAAGGCTTGCCGAGCTCAGGAGGGATCGGCGGGCGCATTAGGGGGCGCAGCCACTACGCCAGGGCAGCCCAAGGTCCCGAGGGTGGGTGGCGCTCCCTCACTTATTCCGCATGGCTTCTACCTCCGGCCCAATCTGTGGCCAGAGCTGGAATCTTTGCGCCGTGCCCGGAGAACCAGGCTTTCCTTAAGGGAAAGGGAGAGGCCGAGTCCATGCGCCTGGATGGGCGTGTGCCTGTGTGCGTGCTTGGGGGACACCGCAGCGCCGTGCATCTGAAAGCGCCCGTTGCCCCAAGCAGAGACTCAGGGGGTGGGGGTGGGGGGTGCTCTCGGGTTCCGGCGACGTGGGTTTGGGTGGGTTGCGAGCGCTCATTTGCAAACAGCTGAGGAGGGCGCATAGGTTTTGGCGAGTGCTGGCTTATCCGGGAGGCGGTGTGTGTGTGTGTGTGTGTGTGTGTGTGTGTGTGTGTGTCCGTGTGAGCTTGCGACTGCGACAGGCAGAGCGTTTGGCTGGGGTCCAGGGACGCGAGTGTGGGACGGGAGCCGGCGGGGAGCGCGAGTGCGCGCACCCGCCCGCCTGTAGCCGAGCGGAGCGCTCGTGAACGTCGGAAGGGCACCGTTGGGCTTACAGTGCTCACTCTCCTGGGGGCCCCCTTAGCAATCTAGCGCTTCAGGAAAAGTGTGTTTGGGGGGGAGAGACAGGTAGAGACGGGGCGCCCGCCCAGCAGTTTGGCAAACAAGCCAGAGGTGCAGGGCAGTTGTGTGAACCGGGTTAGGGGGATGCTAAACTCCACCTCTGAGGATTAGGGGGCTAGAAACCGTGACGGCTGTGCCAGTTTGGCCCCTTCCCCAGTCCTCTCCTCTTCTCCACTTCTACCCGTCCCAGAGGAGTGAGGTGAAGGAGGCTTGGCTGCCAGACTGGAAATAAAACTTCTTTGTGGGGGCCCAGGGCGCGCGGGGTCGGGGGGGGGGTACCCTGGTGTGTGGGGGGAGGGAGGGAAGAAAACTGGATGCCGTAGGAGCACTCCAGGTGGTCCAAAGAGATCACTCTCTCAAGGCCCCTCTCCCCCAGGATCCCCTCCCTCCTGCGCCTAGGGCTGTTCCAGCTGAGCACCAGTTAGAACCCGGGATACTGCTCAGCCCCCTGGGGGCTCTGGTGGCGGGCTGGTGGGACTGGAGCGGCAGGAGGCAGGTGCAAGGCTAGAGTTCAGGCATCGGGAGAGTGAGAAAAGCTCTGGCTTCTTCCTTTTGGTGACGCCAACCCCCCCCCTCCCCGATTTGTCCCCACTTTCAGGACGTCGAAGGCTCTCCAACCTCTCCCAGCCCTCAAGCTCTCCAAGCAATGACCTCATTGCAAAAGACAGTCTGAGCGGGTGGCTCCTCTCCCTAGTGGACCGGTGCGGGGAGAGGGAGCAATGACGCAATCGGAGCTGGGTCGGTCCTGGCCACTTTGGATTGGCCGCGCAGGCTCGTGGGGAACCCCTCCCACTATCACTGGAATAAGAGCCAAGAGCTCCGCTGGGAAGACACCCACAGCAGGCGTTGTATCCATCCAGGGGGACCGGCTGCTGGCATTCTCTCCTGCAACTCCAGTCGCCAGGTGAGGAACTTCCCACTCCACCCTAATACCCTGCTTCTGAATTAGTTCACCCAGTTTGCTAGAACTGCCTGCCTGCCTTTCCTTTGCCTCTCAGGACTATCTCTTCCCATCTACAGCCAGGTGCTCCTAGCTTCCTGTCCCCCTCGGGGGAGGGCGGGTGGTTGGGATGGGCAGTGCATTATCCTCAATAACCACCAGTGGAATCCCCAGCACCCCCAGGGCTTCCCTAGGCGCTGGAAGCTCCACCAGCCCAGAAGGGTGGGTGTGCGGGCCCTGCATTGCTGCCCGTCCTGCATGCAGGACCCTGCAGGAGTTTGGTCTGGGCGTGCCCTTCGGGATCTGTGTCCTCAGGGACCACATTTGGTTCCCGGGACTGGGGGCCCTGAGCCTTTCTCTGAGGCGCCTGCAGTCTGCCAGTGTTCCTGGGGCTTTGGCGAGGACCTGAGGCAGTGCAATTGGTGAACCAGACAGTGGGCTCAACTCGGGGTGCTGGCACCCAGGATCTGCTGCCAAACTGCCCTCCAGCACAGCCTGAGACACCAGTAACTGGCACGTTAGAAATATCCCCCCAAACCCAAACCCAAAGCCTCGGCGCTCTCTTCCAATTTACCCTTCCCATTTTCCTCTCCCCCAGTTAGCAGGAAGTTCAGCGAAGGGGAAGGGAGCTCCTAGATTTCTCAGCTCTGAGAAGACAGGAGATGCAGTCTACAGCAGGGTGGGTCCGCACCTGGTTTCTGCCAAGGGCAGAAGGTGTGGGTTTGTGTGCATGGCCACCTTTGTGGCTTCTCTCTGGCTTCCCACAGAACAGAGCCAGAATTCTCCCTGTCCTCTCCCAGGACACTTGTTTCTGCTCTACCAAGCATATTCACAGCAGTCCATCTAACAAATGAATAGAAGCAAGCAGATTCACAGCAGCCTGTCTGGCAAACGAACAGAACCGAGGCATGAGGACACAAGGCAGTTGTGGCAGAGGCAGGACTGGGGACCTAGGTCTGCAGGCTCTAGGCCAGGCTTGGTCTTGGTGCAGCCGTAATGTTCTTCTCCTTTTACAGAGAGGCATCATGGGCTTCGGGAAGTCCTCTCCCTTCTTGGCTCTCAGCATCTTGGTCCTGTGCCAGGCAGGCGGCCTCCAGGCAACACCGCTCAGGTGAGAGGGCCTGAAGCTACTAGCCTCTGCCCCTGGATCAGGCAATTCCGTGTCTCTGAAGTCACACAGTGAGGTTCCCAGTGAATCAAGGGTTCAGGGTTTAGGTGGACACTGGCCTCCAGCCCTGTGGGCTAGGAGTGGGGAGAGAAGGACACGTTTTCAGGGCATGCCACAGTGAGCAGGAAGCCTGGCTGCTTATCCTGGAGAGAGGCCAGCCAGGGACTCAGAGCCTGTATTGGGTTTGCTTCCCTTCCCCAGGTGGGCCTTGGAGAGCCTCCCAGACTCTGAATATGCTGCACTCAATGAGAAGGAAGGACACCTCCTGGCTTCACTGGTGAAGGCCTATGCACAGAGGAACACTAACGAGCTGGACCAGCCTGAGGAGCAGGAGACGGAGGCAGAGGACTCCAGGTAAGGTTCCCCACTCACCTTGGCATATCCAGGAGGAAAAACATCTGGCCAGAGGTCCAGTAGGCTGTCTTTGTTCATCCGGCTCTGGAGCCCGGCCATTCTCATGCTCCACAGAAGACCAAGGTTCTGGGCAGCTGGAGGGATTGTGGTTAGAGACATTGAAAAGATCCATTCCTGAAAGCTGTTAGGAAAGGAAATGAGGTGGTGTGGAATCACTTTCTCTGGGAATTGGTCTTGCTCTACTGAGGAGACTTCCCAGCATTGGATGAATGAAGACTGGTCAGTGTGAAGCCAGCAGATCTCAGGATGTTTTAGAAATGTAACCGGTGTGTTGTTATCTCACACCTGCAAGGAGCCTTCATTGCACATTTGCAAGGTGAAGCCAAAAGCCTTGCAGAGGGTGGGGTCACATAGAGCAGTGCCTGAGTTAGGTCTGGGGCCTTTACATGTGTAGGATCTGTGAAGATGTGTATGTTTGTCATGAGGCTGGGGAGAGCACCCTTCCCCAGCCCCACCTCCCTATTGCACCCTGAGCTTGGAGCACTGCCTGGGCAGAGGTATGAGTTGCACTTGCACTTGCTCTGAGAAGTGCTCTGCAAAGCATGAAGGCCTGAGCAGGAAAGATGACCCCTTCCCCACTGCAGCCCTTCCCCACACTGCGCTGACTCAGCAAATGTCTGAGTTCCCTTAATGGAAGATGTGTGAGCTGTCCTCCTGCCTGCCCCTCCTGCTCCTGCTCAAAGTACCCCCTCCCTGCATGGCTGCCCCTCACTGGGGGCCAACCTGGTGCATGGTATTGTCTGGCTTGTCTTCCTTGCAGCCTGGACAGCTCCATCACTAAGCCATGCAGTAATCTGAGTATTTGTGTGCTGGGCGCATACTTGAAGTATCTGAAGAACTTTCATATGTTCTCTGGCATTGGCTTTGGGGCTGAAACACTTGGCAAGAAAAGGGATATAGCCAGTGGTTTGGAGAAAGACCGCTACCCCAGTTTTGGGGTGCCCAAGGATTCCAAGTGAAATCGCTTTTGATTTCCTTGCTTGCTCTCATTGATGAACTTAGTGCATGCAGATTTCACTCTGATTGCTTCTCAAGCTGGTATTGGTAGCTTTGCTCATGACAGAAAATGTTGGAGACCTCAGGATGGAATGAAAGAGAGCGGGACTCATAGACCAGGTGAGAGATAAGAGAGAGTAAGGGAAGCTTCTTGAGATCCTAGAGGATATCACAGCAGAGTCCTCTGGTTTCTGCTTTATCCCTCAGCATCAATTTTGATGAATAAACCCATTTTCTAAAAGGATGTACACTGTGATGGTCATTACTCTAGTCCATGTTCAAGACTTGAAGGTGCCCAGGGCCTATGGTTAAAAGTAACTTTAGCCTGAGGACAGCTGGATGCAGGGCTTGGTGAGTGGCCCCTGGGAACCAGCTCCAGCATCAAGAAAAGGTGTGCTGCCCTAGCTGATTTGGCTCAGTGGTTAGAACGTCTGCCTGCAGACTAAAGGGTCCTGGGTTCGATTCCAGCCAAGGGCATGTACCTAGGTTGCAGGCTTGATCCTAGACCCCGGACGGGGCTCGTGTTGGAGGCAACCAATTGATGTGTCTCTCTCACATCAATGTTTCTCTCTTTCTCTCCCCCTCCCTTCCTCTCTCTCTTAAAAAAAAAAAATCAATGGGAAAAATATCCTTGGGTGAGGATTAACAAAACAACAACAACAAAAATATTAGTTGCAATGTGGAATCTAAAAAAAAAAAAAAAAAAAAGAATGGGTGTGCTGAAGCAGGTAAGCCCTTCTTGTAAGCCCTATTCTCTGAGCCTCTTCCAGGTAAAACTTCAGGGAATTTTTATTTTCCCATGGAAAGTGGTTTCATTGGTGCTCATGTCTGGGGTATGGCTTCTGTATGCTTCTTGTATGTCCTGAGGTGGACTAGGCCTTTGCTGAAAACTTCTTCCCGGTCCCAAAGAGATTATATGTAAGGGACAATACTAAGTGCAGGGTTTCAGCGTGTGTCCCATGGTTAGGAACTGGGTTTTATCCTGAAGGGCTCCTAGCAAAGGCTGCCAGGCCATTTCCTCTAACAACTTTAGTATTTGCATATAGAAGAAACCATTATTCTCTGCCCCTCCCCACCACCCTTTTTTTTTATTTTTGTAAGATATACATAAAAAATTTGCCATTTTAGTTTTTTTGTTGTTGTTGTCTTTTAAAAAAATCTTCATTATTGAGAGTATCACAGATGTCCTCCTCCATGAGGTTCCTGTCCCGACCCAAGCCTTCACCACCCTATTGTCTGCATCCATAGTTACTGCATATATGCATATGAGATCTTTGGTTAATCTCTTCCTGGCCCCTCTCCCCCTTCCCTATGATATTTGTCATGTTTCTGTGCTTCTGGTTCTATTTTATTTATCAGTGTATTTTGTTCATTAGATTTCTTGTCCATTTACTTTGTTTTTTAAGATTCAATTGTTGATAGATATGTATTTATTGACATTTCATTGTTCATATTTTTATTTCTCCTCCTCCTCCTCCTCCTCCTCCTCCTCCTCTTCCTCCTCCTTTCCTTCCTTCTCCTTCTTCTTTTCATTTTCATTCTCATTCTTATTCTTATTTCTCTTCTGAAAGAATACCCTTCAACGTTTTATGTAATATTGGTTTGGTACACTCCTTTAGCTTTTTCTTGTCTGTGAAGCTCTTTATCTGACCTTCGATTCTAAATGATAGCTTCGCTGGGTAGAGTAATCTTGGTTGTAGGCCCTTGCTACTCATCACTTTGAATAGTTTTTGCCACTCCCTTCTGGCTTACAAAGTTTCTGTTGAGAAATCAGCTGACAGTTATATGGATGTTCCCTCCTAGGCAACTAACTGCTTTTCTCTTGCTGATTTTAAGATTCTCTCTTTGTCTTTAATCTTTGGTATTTTAATTATGATGTGTCTTGGTGCGGGCATCTTTGGGTTCCTCTTGTTTGGGGCTCTCTATGCTACCTGGTTAAAGGGGAAGTTTTCTGTCATATTTCTTCAAATAGGTTTTCAATATCTTGCTCTCTCCCTTCTCCTTCTGGCACTGCCATAATGCAAATGGTAGTATGCTTGAAGTTGTCCCAGAGGCTCCTTACACTATCTTCATATTTTTGGATTCTTTTTTCTTTTCTGATTGGGTGTTTTTTGCTTCCTCATATCTCAAATCATTGATTTGATTCTTGGGATCCTCTAATTTACTGTTGAATCCCTATATATTCTTCTTTATTTCAGTCAGTGTATACTTAATTTTTGACTGATCCTTTTTCCTGTCTTTGAAATTATTACTAAGATCCTTGAAAGTCTCATTAAGTCCCTTGAAGCTTTCTTTAAGATCTTTGAGTAACTTTATAACCATTGTTTCGAACTCTGTATCCAGTAGTTTGCTTGCTTCCATTTCTTTCATTTGTGACATATTTCTTTGTGTCCAAATTTTGGCTGCTTCTCTGTGTTTGCTTCTATGTGTAAGGTAGAGCTGCTATGTCTCCTGGGATTGGTAGAGTTGCCTTGTGTAGTAGGTGTCCTGTAGGGCCCAGTGGCTCAGACTCCCCAGACACCTGAGCTGGACCTTCTAGATCAGTGGTTCTCAACCTGTAGGTCGCGGCCCCTTTGGTGGTCAAACTACCCTTTCACAGGGGTTGCCTAAGACCATCCTGCATATCAGATATTTACATTACGATTCATAACAGTAGCAACATTACAGTTATGAAGTAGCAATGAAAATAATTTTATGGTTGGGTCACAACATGAGGAACTGTATTTAAAGGGCCAGAAGGTTGAGAACCACTGTCTAGATCAGTGATGGCGAACCTTTTGAGCTTGGCGTGTCAGCATTTTGAAAAACCCTAACTTAACTCTGGTGCCTTGTCACATATAGAAATTTTTTGATATTTGCAACCATAGTAAAACAAAGACTTATATTTTTGATATTTATTTTATATATTGAAATGCCATTTAACAAAGTAAAATCAACCAAAAAAATGAGTTCGAGTGTCACCTCTAACACGCGTGTCACTGGTCTAGATACACCTCTGTGTGGGCTGGGTGCACAGTCTTGTTGAGTTGAGCCTTGATTGCTGTTAGATTACTGGGAGGAGTTGGCCTTCAGGTCAATTGGCTGTGAGGACCAGCTGCAACTACAGGGGAAGAGATGCTGTGCAGGAGACACCCCTATGGAGCAGGACTTGCTTCAGTGGGGCTTTGGTGCTCACTGAGTCTGCCCCTTGAGTGTGTCCCCTATGGATATGTAGAGTTGTAATCTGGTATGGTCTGAAGTTGTCCACTGGATGCATGGCTCTGGGGCCTCCAGGGAGGTGCAAAGTCAGCTACTGCCTGGGGCCACCGGCAGGAACTACAGAGAAATTTGCAGGTGGCTGCTATTTGTATTGGGCTTGGAACTGCTTAGGCAAGGCCCAGCTGTGAAGCAAGGCAGGCTGGTGCTAGTGCTGGGTCTTAGGCCTTTTATTGATAGGTTTGGGGCATGCTGATGGCAGCTGAGGCTAGTTTGAGAGATTTTAGGAAAGTCTGAAGCCTGACCCAAAACAGGCCATTTGTATGGAAAAATAGGTGCAAAAGCTTGTGTGGGGCTGCAAATTGGATGGGGCAGAGTCTCAGGGAATCACCAGGCAGAGTGAACAGTGTGAGCTATGGTCATAGAAATTAAGTTATTGCTGCCAGTCAGCCCTGCAACATGGGAGGTCTCAGCATAAGAACAATGATCCCTGAAAGCACCCCTTCTGGGAGGAAACCGCCCCTGAGTTCTTGCTCCAATGCCAGACAATCAAATTCCTTCCTGTATGTTCCTGGATCCCCCAAAGCTGCCACCCCATATTGGAGCCCAGAGGGAGTGTGGACAAGTAAATTCATGTGCCAGACCTTTAAGAGGTACTGCCTGGGTCTCTAGCAGCCTCCGTGTCACTAGCTACAATCCCCACTGGTTTTTACAGCCCCAAATTATGGGGACTTCTCTTCTTACCTCTGGAAACCTTGGTTGGAGTTCTGGTGTTGGACTGGAACTCCTTGCTTTTCATGGGAGGCCTCCACAGTGAAGATATCCCTCCTGATTAAAAAAAAACAAAACCCACCACATGTGGGTGTTGGGCCAATTCGTTCCATGCCTCTGCCTCTCCTATCAGTCTTGATGTACTTTATCAGGGGTGGGCAAACTTTTTGACTCGAGGGCCACAATGGGTTCTTAAACTGAACCGGAGGGCCGGAACAAAAGCATGGATGGAGCGTTTGTGTGAACTAATATAAATTCAAAGTAAACATCATTACATAAAAGGGTACGGTCTTTTTTTTTTTTTTAGTTTTATTTGCCCACGGCTGACTTTATTCTTTACTTCTCTTGTTGTAGGACTTCCGTTCAGCCAGTTCTGAATGATGGTTGTTCTTTATTTTAGTTGTAATTTTGATGTGGTTGTGGGAGGTGGCAAGTGCCAGAGTTTACCTATGCTGCCATCTTGGCTCTTCCAGAAACACTTATTCTTTTTTTTTTTTTTTTTTTAACATATATTTTACTGATTGCAGAGAGGAAGGGAGAGGGAGAGATACAAACATCAATGATGAGAGAGATGCCTCCTGCATGCCCCCTACTGGGGATTGAGCTGCAACCCGGGCATGTGCCCTTGAGGTGAATCAAACCTGGGCCCCTTCAGTATGTAGGCCAATGCTCTATTCACTGTGCCAAACCAGCTAGGGCCAGAAACACTTATTCTTAAGTGTTATGTTGAAGAGCTACAATTCTCTTTGAAAAGGTCCCATGGGGTAGGCTCCAGACTCCAGACTCTCACTAGCAGGCTTTCTCTTCTTTCTCCATCCTACAAATCAGTGTCACTCACCAGAAGAGATCCTGCAATCTTCCCACCTGTGCGATCCATCGGCTGGAAGACTTTCTTTACAGACATATGGGAATACTTAAGGAAGGCTTTGTGCCCACTAATGTGGGCCCCAAGTCCTATGGCCGTCGCCGTAGGGAACTTCATGCCTGAGCTGCTAGAGGACTCCAGCAAGAAGGTGACTGCCTCTGTTCTGTTGGATGGGAGGGGAAGGTATTTGGAGTTTTTAACATCCACATTTTGAAACCCACTGGACCTGGTAGGTTCCTCAGATCCTTCTCTTCAATTGCATTCTTCCTCCTGAGGTAGTGGGTTCCTTCTACAACTCAGCTTGAAGTCAGAGCACTAGGGCAGGCTGCAGAGGTGCAATTTTGTCTTTCTGAGAAGAGAAATGATTTAAAAAAAAAAGGCTTGCCGAATTCAGCAAACCTTAGCCAGGCCACTCCTCATTAATGAACCTAGGTTCTGAAAGCCTTCAACCCTACAGTGTTCACAGGTTTAGTCCAGAGGGCTATAATCATAACACTACTGCTAATGTTCATAGTGATGGTTGAATTGCTTTTTACTATCATTTGCTTTAAAAGCCTGTTTATATCTCATATCCATAATTTATAAATGCTGTTTAGTTAAAGAAGCACTTCTATAAATTAATGTTCTTTTCAGTAATAATTGTGTTTATTCCCTTCTTGTTCTTCTTATTCTTCTGGTTCTCATTCTTCTCCTCTTTCTCCTCCTTTTTCCTTTTCTTTTAACTTCTTTTTTTTTTTAATCTCAGGTTACAATGAAGCTGAACTCACCACTTCTATTAATTTCTGTTGACAACAGCTTGGTGAGAAGACCCCAGGGAAGATATACATGTTTGCATCCAAATAGATTAAAAAAAAAAAGCCCCTTTTTCACTCAAAAGGAATGAAATTAAATGCAAAATAAACAAATCCCATATTTGTTGTGCATCCTTTTTATATTTGATTCTACGTGCAATAAACATGATTACATCTCTCATCAGCTTACCTGGTAGCAAACTGGTTCTTTGAGAGCTATCCTGTTGTTCATGCAGCTTTGCCAAACCATAGGGGGACGTCAAATCACTGCCTCTTGTGGTCTCTGGGGTGATGCTCTGCTTTGTCTTCATGGTGATGCTATGCCTTGTTGTCTAAGAGCCTGATTATATAATTTATTTAAGGAAATGTCAATATTGTGCCATTTGTGAACTTTATCAAGATTAAAAACATATTTTGGATACATGTGTTTCAAAACCCTGGTGGCTTATTTCAACTTGTTTTTCAATGTAACAATAATAATAGTTGACATTTTTTGAGATCTTACTCTAGACCAGTGATGGCGAAACTTTTGAGCTCGGCGTGTCATTATTTGAAAAACCCTAACTTAACTCTGGTGCCGTGTCACATATAGAAATTTTTTGATATTTGCAACCATAGTAAAACAAAGACTTATATTTTTGATATTTATTTTATATATTTAAATGCCATTTAACAAAGAAAAACCAACCAAAAAAATGAGTTCGCGTGTCACCTCTGACACGCGTGTCATAGGTTCGCCATCACTGCTCTAGACCATACAATGTTCTGAGATAGTGCTTTATACCTATGAATTCATTTACTCTTCATGACAACTTTATGGGCTAGATACCATTTTCATTTCCACTTCTCATCTGAGGAAACAGGCACTGAGAAGTGACGTCCAAGGTCACACAGACTCAGATGTTGGTTTCAGGAGCTTACCGTGGAAACCACTGTGCTGTATGCTTCCCAACTATGGCTCCTGATGTTTTCCAGATCTGTGAGCCATTCATTGACCTAGCTGCCTGTGAATATTTCTCTCTTCTCTGCGTCCAGCGCGGCCAGAGAGTGGTCCGGTTCCTGAGTAGGGGCAGCTGGGGATTGAGAAAATGAAAGAAAGAGGCAGACACAGAGATGGAAGAAAAAAGCTGGGGCCAGGTGGGACCACTGTCCTCTGATGGAGAGACAGGGACAGGGACCCAGAGCCAATACAACATATTTATTATATACAGCAAAAAACAGGAAGTTTTACTAAAGGTCAAGACAAAGGAGATTATGTGCATTCTTGGGTGGGCCTGAGTCATTTTCATTCCCGGTGTTTGGCTGGATTTAAATAACAAAACCCACCCCCTGGCACCTGGACTGAAGGTCAAGCTGACAACACTCCTGCCTTTTGGCCAAGCGTTTTTCCAGGATGTGGCTTCGTCCACGCCACTGGATTCAGCTGACAATAATTAAAGAAATGCCCATGTGCCTTGCCAGGTGCTCTCTACAGCCGCCTCACCTGATAGACCATCAGATTTTGAAGACAAATGGAAAAATTTACACACATAAGCAACCTAATCTCTCACACACAAATAACCTAAACAACCTTATCTAATAAAGTGGACCCCTTCTACCCATTACTTTGTGCTACAGGGTGAATGGTTGTATACTTCCCCCCAACCCTTCACCAAAATGTATATTTTGAAACCTAACACCAAAATGATGTTATTAGGAGGTGGGGCCTTTGGGATACGAGTAGGTTATAAGGGCAGTACCCTCACCAATGCAATTAATGCCCTTAAAAATGGGGCCAGAGAGAATTCCCTTGCTCCTTCCACTGCAGTGTGAGGTTACAGTGAGAAGACTGCTGTGAATAAGGAACTGGGCCCCCCACCAGACGCTGAACCTGCTGGTGCCTTGATATTGGACTTCCCAGCCTCCAGAACTGTGAGAAATATACTATAAGCTATCCAGTCTGTGGTATTTTGTTATAGAAGCCCAAATAGACTAAGACACTTATTTGACTTCGATGATCTATTTATGGTCAATGTTATTACATATATACACCATCTATCCCCCCCACCCATGTATTATTACATCAATATGCCCATAACTATTTCCCCATATATCTCTAAATGGGAAGTACTCTTTAAACATAACCACAATCCCATTTAACATAATAAATTAACAGTAATTTCTTCGTTGTTTAATATCTCACGTCTAGTTATGGCTCAAATTCTTCCATTATCACATATATGTATGTGCATTGTATATATATTATATAGAATATGTTTATATGCACATATATGTATAAAACCTAAGCTCAAAGTCTTCACATTGCTGCTAGTTGATATGCTTTAAGGTTCTTCTAATTTAGCTCCCTCTCCACCTCCATCTCCCCCTCCCCCCACCCACAACTGCAATTTATTTGTTGGAGAAACTGAGTTATTTGTTCAATAGAGTTTCTCCGTTCTGAATTTTGATGATTCCATCCCTGTGGTGAGGTTTATAACATGTTCCTTTATCTTCCATTTTTCTGTGAGTCAGATCTCTAGTGAATGAGAGGAAAGAGAAGTGGGAGATGAACTCAGAGAAGTAATGGAGGACTGTGAGGGGTATAGGAAAGAGTGGCTTTCTATCTTATTGATATTCTATATGTGGTGAGACAGCATTCTCATACTTTCCTTTATTTTGTGAGATATTAATCCCCTTAGTTATTTGAATAAATATAAAATAGCTGATTTAGAACTTTTTGTCTACGAAGTTCAATGTCTGTGCTCCCTAAGGAACAGTTTTTATTAACTGCTCTTCTTGTGCATATAGACTTTTCCCTGCATGTCTCATAATATTATTTTTGAAAACTGGACACTTAAAATAATCTAATGTGGCAACTTGGGAAATCATATTTCCTCCCTCCCACCAACCCTAGGATTTATGATTGTTTTTTCGTTGTAGTTGTTGTTGATTGTTTGCTCAGTGACTTCTCTGAAGTAGATTTTTTAAAAAATATATTTTATTGATTTTTTTTACAGAGAGGAAGGGAGAGGGATAGAGAGAGTCAGAAACATCGATGAGAGAGAAACATCGATCAGCTGCCTCCTGCACACTCCCCACTGGGGATGTGCCCGCAACCGAGGTACATGCCCTTGACTGGAATCGAACCTGGGACCCTTGAGTCTGCAGGCCGACGCTCTATCCACTGAGCCAAACCGGTTAGGGCTGAAGTAAATTTTTTTAAAGTCTTTATTCTTTGTCATGTGGCCACTGTTTGGTTAGCTTAATGGTTAGGTAATGATTGATCAAATATTTCCTTATTGTCTCGAATCAATGTCTTTTAATCTTTACCAAGGGGCTCCGTGTGCATGTTGGGACATACCTTCAACACTCAGACAAGTAGTTGACAACTTTGCCATAGTTTTGACTTCCTGCTTGCCGACAGCCTCAAGATCAGTGAGAGGTGAGAGCTCTGGGCTTTCTCAGGTTCTTCCTGAGCATGCATGCAGCTTCATGATTCCCAGATTCCCAGAAATATGTTAGAGCTTTCCAAAGTTCTTATAGATATCACATTCCCCACATTTCCTTTTAAATGTTTTTGGTTAGTCTATTATTTACTCCAAGTATTATCCACTAGCTCAGGCATCTGTGAATTTAAGTAAGTGCTTGTTTTCAACAAATGCTCCTGAAGAAAAGGCTTTATGCACTGGGCAAGCTCCATGTCAGATCAAAGAAAGACAACATTGCAGATGAGGTCTTCAAAGGAATGACCAGAGAGATCAAATAATGATAAAACTCTTGGAATAAGGCTTTGAAAGAGGTCCACCCTCATTTGCTAGATTGATGGGTTTTTTTTTAAATATATTTTTTATTGATTTTTTACAGAGAGGAAGGGAGAGGGCTAGAGAGCCAGAAACATCAATGAGAAACATCAATCAGCTGCCTCCCGCACACCCCACCGGGGATGCGCCCGCAACCAAGGCACATGCCCCTGACCGGAATCGAACCCGGGACCCTTCAGTCCGCAGGCCGATGCTCTATCCACTGAGCCAAACCGGCCACGGCAAGATTGATGGTTTTTACCATGAAGCTGGGCTATTAGTATTCAAAGCTACCACAGAGTTGGAGAGCAGGACACGATACTAAAACAAGTGAAAATACGACAGGCCCTGGTTAGAATTGGTTAACTAGCTCAGTTGGTTAGATTGCAGGTTTGATCCTAGGGCAGACACATATAAGAATCAACCAATGAATACATAAATAAGTGGAATAGCAAGTTGATGTTTCTCTCCCTCTTTCTCTAAAATGTATATATTTAAAAGCATAATATGCAAATCGATGGAACAGCGGAACAACCAGAACAACCGCTCGACCAGTCGCTATGAGGCACACTGACAATCTCTGGGTCCTTCCTCCTGGCCAGCAGGCTCCGATCCCTTGATAGTGAATGGGGAACAGGGGGTAGGTGGCAGTGGCTGCCGGCAGTGGGGGAAGATGGCCCTGATCACAGGCCAGGCCTAGGGACTGTACCCGCACATGAATTTCGTGCACCGGGCCTCTAGTTAATAAGTAAAAGGCCACAAAGCTCACTGTTATTTCTGGCATTCAGCTGTTTCTGTTGAATAGTTGCTTCTTGAATTGCTGCAAACCTTGGACTAGTTGCTAGAGTTTTGAAAAAGTAAATTTGACAATTTTTGTTACTCCTTTCATTGTTTTTATGGAGAAGGAAATTTTTGGAGACTCTCACTTCACTATTTTCACAGACAAAACTATTTTTGCCTTCATCCATGAAGGATATTTTCACTAGATATAAGAGTATGGATTGGCAGTTTTTTTCTTTTAGCATTTTGAAGATGTTTTATTCTCTTCTGGTCTCTATGGTTTCTTAGTAGAAGTTTGCATTCATTTGAACATTTGTTCCTCTATATGTAATGCATTGTTTTTCTCTAGATGCTTTCAAATTTGTTTTCTTTAAGTTTTATTTTATACTGTTCGATTAACATTTGTTTAGGTATAATTTTCTTTTTTTCTGGTCCAGATTCTCTGAGGTTGAGGTTGAATCTGTAAATCTATGAACTTTGAGAAGTATTTAGCCATTAATTTTTATGTGCCAATATTTTCCTTTCTTTTTGGGCCTCCAGGGACAAATGTTAGGCCTTTT